CTTTATTTGTTTGTTGTGAATTTCATTACATATATCTTGATCCTATTTATCTCCCTGTCCCTTTGTATCTGTCCTCTACCCTTGTAGAAAAAGAAAATGCGAAAGCTGTAGTGTGACTCAGTGAGTCACACAGCAAGGAGCAAGGGGGCAGGGCCCATTTCCTGTTTTAATGCCCTCAGGGCCGGCTCACCAACACTTATACCACCAGGGCCAGCTGTACTGTGGTGCCCAGGTGAGGGACAGGGACTGCTCTCCTGAGTGTTGCAGCTGGTGAGGGACAGGGGCCACTCTCCTGAGTGTTGCAGCTGGTGAGGGACAGGGGCAGTTCTCCCAGCTGCCTCAGGCAGAGTGGGAGAAAGGCATCTCTTCCTTGCCCATGCCACCATATGGCAGATGAGGGGTGGGGCCAGATCTGCTGGTAATGGGGATGGGCAGCTCTGGAAGGGCATCTTTCTCTGGTCTTTGACACCACCTGGCAGACAAAGGGTGCAGTGCTAGCTCTCTCTCAGGCCCTCCGGCAAGGTGCAAGGCCTGCACTCCCAAGTGCTGCAGCCAGTAAGGGGTAGGTGATGAGGGGCAAGGAGAAGGCATCTCTCCCTTGTCCATGCCACCACATGGCAGATGAGAAGCACCAGATCTCCCGTGCTCATGTTTTCAGGGCTGGCACACCACACCCGTGTTGACAGGATCAACTCTACTTTGCTGCCTAGGTGAGGTGCAGGGCCTGCTCTTTTGCGTGCTGCAGCTGTTGAGGGACTGGGTCAGCAATCCCTAATGTTGCAGCCGGTGAGAGCCCTGCCTCTTGGCCTTCCGTGGTATGAGGAGTCACAGACATCAACACAGACCCAAGGTGCAGCAGGCCACAGACCTACACATGGGCCTTAGCAGCAGGCGAGGCCCGGACATCACCATGGCCCTTGGTGACAAGCAGACCACCCACCTCAGCCTGCTCCTCACTGCCTTCACCTCTTCAGATCTCTTTCTACACAGGACATGAACCATTCTCTCTCTCCCATCCCAGCCCAGCCCAGCCCATCCATTTGTCTATGATAATAGTGCTTGACCAGCTGGTTTCCCTGGGCAGGCAGGCATGTGGGTCTCCTCCTACTCAGTCTAAATGGTGCTGGTGGGGTTGTGTTTTTTCCTCACCACCTGGGTAGGCTACCCTGGTAGTTTTTTAAATTAATTTTTATTTCTGGTGCATTGGTGTTTTGCCTACAGTTATGTCTGTGTGACAGTGTTGATTTCCTTGGAATTGGAATTACAGACAGTTGTGAGCTGCCATGTGGGTGCTGGGAATTGAACCTGGGTCCTCTGGAGGAGTAGTCAGTGCTCTTAACCACTGAACCATTTCTCCAACCCCTCGGTTCTGGTCTGAATGCAGACATACTTAAGGCTGAGAAACAGCCATTGTTTCAGTGAGTCCAAAGACAGTGTATCTGGCTAGCTGGTACACATCCATGAGATGGAGGCAGGAGAATATGAGTCTTGAGACAAGTTTGGGATACATCATAGGACTGTCTCAGAAACCAATATAACAAAACAAACGAAGAGATAACCCCCCACCCCACAAACCTACTGGCTAATGGGCAGGAAGACTTCCCTTTAAAAGAGACTGCCTTTTGTTTCACTTAGGCCTTTGCCTGGGTAGGTGAGGCCCACCCACATTGTGGAGGAGAGTTGGCTTTATTTATTTAAAAATTTCTTTTAATGATTTATTTTTATTTCACGTGCAATGGTGTTTTGCCTGAAAATATGTCTGTATAAGGGTGCCAGATCCCCTAGAACTGTGGCTATAGGCAGTTGTGAACTGCCATACAGGTGCTGGGAATTGAGCCCAGGTCATCTGGAAGAGCAGTCAGTACTCTTAACCACCGAGCCATCTCTCCAGCCCTGACTTTGTTTATCTACTTTAGATGTTACATCCATTCAGAAATACCTGGGATAATGTTTGTCTAGGTGTTTGAGTGTTCATAGCCCCATCGTTTTACACACAATGTTCCCTATTACATCCTTGGTATCATCTTGGGGTTCATGATCCCTTTCTGAGCTTGTGTAGTTGAGAAGACTGGTATTAAAGCATCACAGACCATGGAGGTCTCGGGGTTGGTGTTGTTTTCCTGAATCTTCCATGGGGAAATATGTAAGGCCTTGCTGGTCAGTGGTGGGGCACGCCTTTAACCTCAGCCCTTGGGAGGCAGAGGTAGGCAGATCTCTGATTCCGAGGCCAGCCTGGTCTACAGAGTGAGTTCCAGGGACAGCCAAGGCTACACAGGGCTCCCCTTCCAGAGTCAGTAATGATGGGTATTTCATATTGCACATGCACACTGGAGTCTGTAGGTCAGAGTGTGCACTTTGCAGAGTTCCTGATCCAGAACCGCGACTCGGCCTGAAGCCGTCTGGGTGGGGCCATTTTGAGGATGTACTAGTGACTTCCTCAAGCCCTCAGGTTCGAGGAAATTTCCTAAACATTTTAGACACTTCTTCTGCCCAGCCTATAAACCTTGGGCACTCAGGATCTCGTTTATGACAAGGTGGCTAGGCATGTCCCTTTGGTTTAATGTTTTGATGTCAGGCTTGGCATTTGTACCATTTTTCAACCTGATTTTGGAGTCCAGGTAGACACATCTGTGCCCAGGAACATTACCTGTGAGGACAGCGGTAGGAACAGTTATTCAGCAGTGAGGCTTCAGGTTGCCCCATTTTGTTGCTAGGTTCTTACTTGCCAAGGTCTTCCCTCTGTGTTGTGTGACTGCTTGGGAGGACACATGCCTGTTTGCCCAGATAGGGCTCCAGTAACAGACAGAAGAAGTTCTTTCATGTAAGCCTACCTTGGTGACCAGTGGATTTCCTAGAGTTACTTATAGAGCTGGAGAGATGGCTCAGCTGTTAAGAGCACTGCCTGCTTTTCCAAAGGTTCCGAGTTCAACTCCCAGCAACCACATGATGATTCAACCTTCTATAATCGGGGAAGAGACCTGGTCAGTCGTCCTCATCAACTTAGAACGTGAAACCCAACATGGCCAAGTTCAACAGAAACACCTTGCATGCTTCAGCATTGCCAGGGCATATTTCACTTTTCATTTCACTTATAGGGACGCGGGTGACTTAGAGGGAAGAGCCAGTTCCACTGTGCATTGAAGCCCTCTGCAGCTTGTGGGCATCAACACCATGGAAGTGTCCCCTACTTCCAGCATGTGTTCCTGCTCCTGTAATTTGGGGAAGGAGCCTCACGAGGCTTTTAGCTCTCTTGTAGCTTGTGAGTTGCCCAAGCCTTCCTCCTCCCCTCCTTAAGAAATGCTTCAATCTCAAGAAAACAGACTTGTTACCTGAAGGGCTGGATGAGCAGGCGCCATAGATCACACAGGCTGATTTATGCTAGAGATATGGTGCTAAAGTTTGCTATGCAAATGACGTGGCAGTTTGGTGAGTCCTATTTTTGGTAATTTGTAGTAGGTAAGCCAAGAGCACATTGCCGTTCCGAAGACATTTTTAGAGGACCTAAAAGTGAGTTTCTATTTTGATGCTTTTTGAGAACTTGAGAGGCTTTCTCTTGGCAAGAGGTAAGAAGATCTGCCGGTGTCTTTGACAAGTGGTCTCAGGGGAACAGCTTGCCATCTGCAGGAGGCCTCTTCAGTGCCCTACTTAGGATGCTTTGGATTGGCTGCTTTTTCATAGAGAGCATCCGGTTTTCTTAAGAGGAGGCTGGCAGAGAATACAAAGCCTTGGGAACAGATCCAAGACCACAGAGGAACAGGCTCAGAGAGCGTCAGCGGTCATCAGAAGAGGGCTCTCCTTACATGGCACCATGCGCTTTCCAGACACCCCCTGAAAAATATTGCAGTTTTCATGCAGAGAGTCATATGCTAGGGTCTGGCGTCTGCTCTTTTCCTGGGACTTGCAGTGTCCCTCTGGCACACCAGAGGTAACAGTGTAGTACTATAGCCCTCACCACGGAAACAACATTGACTCACTTTTACAAGTCCTACTCTTAGGAGAGAGGCTGGGGTATGTGTAATTTCTGTTTGTTATTATCAACCCCAACTAACTTATGCCAAGAACCTACTGTATGCAGACTTGAGAAGGGCATCATTCATCTCAGCCACCATCCCTCACCTTCGAGGAAGATTGCTCCTATCACATTTGACTTAGGATGAATCTGAAAGAACTTCTCTGTGTCTGGACTTTGACCCAGATCCTGTAGGATGGCACTTGCACCTCAAGCCAGGCTGTCATTTTCTCGTCCTCAGAGAATGATATGATCTTTGTTCACCATGCATTGCTTGCATGAATTTTATCTTTTTGAACTGCTGCGTTTATACTATTTCTCTCAGTTATTGAGTTGTTGGTGCTCAGATAGCCCTGCGTTGGGAAGGCAGGAAGGGTTAGGAAGCTGTAAGTCCTGTGGACACCTGGGTTGTGTCCCCCTCTCCAGTGTGTGTATATGTGTGTGTGTGTGTGTGTGTGTGTATGTATATATCTGTGGTGTGTGTGTGTGTATATGTATCTGTGTGTGTGTGTACCTTTGGGGTGTGTGTATGTGTGTGTGTGTGTGTGTGTGTGTATCTTTCTAGTTTATAAGGCAGAGTTTTTTGCTGAACTGGAAGCTTCTTCTTGGGCTAGTTTAACTATCCATCTTGTTCCCAGATGCCCTGTCTGGCTTCTGAATGATGAGATTTCAGGAGGGCCATTATACCCATCTGGCATTTGACCTTTTTCTTGCAGCTGAGGGTGAGTGATGGAGGTTCGGACTCCAGTGTTCTTGCCTGCACGGCAAGTGCCGTACCCCGAGTTCTCTCTCTAGCCCCCAGCTTCTGGGGCCTTAACCAAGCTTTCGGGGTACAGCTGCAGCCTCTGTCTGGAGGCGGTAGCAGGCTTTGTCTGCAGATGTCAGGAAGTGAACTTAACTGAGCACGAGCTACTCCATCTGTACAGAGGCTTGGCCTCATCAGCGTCTCTCGCGGCCGGCCGTGGTCTCATGAATGTTTCTCCTCCTCCAGGTTGGGAAAGAGGTTAAAGAAGACCCGCAAGTATGACATCATCACCACTCCTGCTGAGCGTGTGGAGATGGCCCCACTGAATGAGGAGGACGATGAGGATGAGGACGCCACAGTATTCGACATCAAGTATAGGTGCGGGCAGGGGACAGAGGCTTCTCCCCAGGCTGTGTCCGGTAGGGTGGTTCAGCCACAGTGTTCTTGTGTTCTTGTTAAGTGTTAGTCCAGATGAGCACAGGGATGGTGGGTAAATGCTTATCCTGAAACAAAGAGTCATATTATCATGGTTGTTCCTGGAACATTGGTTTTAGAAACAGAGTTTGTTAATGAATCACATTTGAATTTTATTTACGTGTGTGTGTGTGTGTGTGTGTGTGTGTGTGTGAGAGAGAGAGAGAGAGAGAGAGAGAGAGAGAGAGAGAGAGAGAGAGATTTCTCTGTGTAGACCTTGAACTTGATTTGTAGACCAGGCTGGCCTCGAACTCAGAGATCCTCCTGCCTCTGCCTTCCAAGAGCTGGGACTAAAGGCGTGTGACACAACACCTTGCTCTCTTACATTTTATAAAGAACAACCACACATTGAGACTTGCTGGTTCTAGATACCAGAGTAGGAAGAAACCCATAACTTTTATTTTGTCAGGAAAAGAGTGAAGTCAACAGTAATATTCAGTTATGCTACAAACTAATACATACATAGTGTTATTAATGATTGTATTGGGCTTATTGCTAAGCCTTTTGCCTATTTCACAGTCAGTACATAGAAACAAGAAAATTATGGCCAGGTGATGGTGGTGCATGCACGCCTTTAATCCCAGCACTTGGGAGGCAGAGGCAGATCTCTGTGAGTTCAAAGCCAGCCTGGTCTACAAGAGCTAGTTCAGGACAGGCACCAAAGTTACAGAGAAGCCCTCTCAAAAAACAAACAAACAAAAAATTAATGTCATTTAAAAGGTATTCCCGCTTATACTTCAAAAGTATATGGTATGTGTGTGTGTGCGCATGCATACATGTGTCACAGTACATGTGAGTGGAGGGCAGGGGCAACTTTGTAAAGTTGTTCTCTCCTTATACCTTATATGAGTTTTATGGGTCAAACTCAGGTCATCAGGCTTGCATAGCAAGCTCCTCTACTTCTGCCAGCTCATCTTGCTAAACCTTTCTTTTGTTTTTATTTCTTGTTTGAGGCAGGATTGCATAACCTGGGCTGGCCTGGAACCTGCTGTGTAGAACTCAGTCTCCTGAGTAGTGCATGGCCATCCTGTGCTTCCAGGCTTTCATTATTATTACAATAAATAAGGGTCCGAGTTCTCCTGCAGGCCTGCGACATGGTGTGCAGTACAGAACTTAAGGGAGTGAATCAGTTGTACTACATATATATGTGTGTGTGTGTGTATACATATATATATGTGCGTGTATGTAGTAGTGTATATATGTGTGTATATATAAATGCATGCATATAAACATGTATGTATATATGTGTGCCTACACACAGGCATATATGTCACTGAGTATATTTGGAGGCAGAGAACAGCTTTTTTGGAGTTGATTCCCTCTTTCCATTATGTGGATTCTGGGAATCAAACACAGTTTGTCCGGCATAGCAGCAAGTGCCTGTACCTGCTAATTTTTTTTTTTTTTTTTTTTTTTTTATTCAGAGCCACTCCTAGAATCTTGTTCATATTAGGTGTGGCTGTTAATACTGACCGAACTTGACAGGCTCCAGAATCACCCTAGAGACAAATCTCTTGCCGAGCTTGTGAGGGAGTTTCTAGACTGAGCTAATCAAGAGAAGACCTACCTTAAATGTGGTCAGCACTATCCCATGGGTGGGGGTCCTGGGCTGGATGAAAAGGAGGAGCCGTGCTGAGCACCCGCATTCACCTGTCAGCTTCCTGACTGAATGCCACATGACAGCTGCCTCGTGCTCCTGCTGCCTTGCTGTCTCCGCCGTGGTCGACTGTACCCTCAAACTGTAAATCAAGCAACTCTTCCTTCCTTAAGTTGCTGTCTTAGTTAGGGTCTCTCTTGCTGTGATAAAACAACCTGGGAGGGCAGGCGGTGGTGACACGCGCCTTTAATCCCAGCACTTGGGAGACAGAGGCAGGTGGATCTCTGTGAGTTCCAGGTCAGCCTGGTCTATAAGAACTAGTCCCAGGACAGGCACCAAAGCTACACAGAGAAACCCTGTCTCAAAAAACCAAAAACCAAACAAACAAAAAGAAAATGCAACAACATGGGGAGGAAAGGGTTTATTTCATTCTACCCTTTTTTTTTTTTTGAGGCTTTCTGCAAAGTGACAACAGAGAGAACCAGACTGCCCAGGAGCAGACACTGAGCACGGAGCCCGAGTCCATGGGTCTAGGGTTCACAAGTAACCCTTAGAGTAAAGGATTAATACAAATGGATTTGCTGGCTCCTGCTGTTCCACCTAGAATAGAAGAAATGAGAGACACCAAGGGATTGGGGGGAGCAAACCCAAGTCCTGTTTCAGACATCACCAGGCGCCAAGACGGGAGTGTCTGTGAAATGCTAAGCATTTATAATTCATTACCCAGGAATGTCAGGGCAGGAACGAAAGCAGAGACCATGGGTGGATGCTGCTTACTGGCTTGCTCCTCATGGCTTGTTCAGCTTGCTTTATTAGAGTACCGAGGACCACCAGTCTAGGGGTAGCTCCACCCACAGTGAGCTGGGCCCTCCCATATCAATCATCAAGGATCATTTGAGAGGCTGTACCACAGGCTTGCCCAAAGGCTGGTTTGGTGTGGGCATTTCCTCAGTTGAGATTCTCTCTTCCCAGATGGCTCTAGCTTGTGTTAAGGTGACGGAAAACCAGCTAGCACCGTTGCTTTTGGTAAGTATTTTCTCATTATCACAACCAAGAGAGAAGCAACTAATCCACTGGGTGACTGAACTGGCTCTGTGGAAACCATGACAGAATGGGCTGTTTTTATTCTATTTTCACATGCCACTAAGTGAGAGAAATCCCTAGTCTGGACATGCAAGCCGATGCCAGTAGTTCCAATACTCAGGAGGCTGAAGCAGGAGGTTTTGAGTTCAAGGTTGGCCTGAGATACATAATGAGAACCTGTTTCAAATAACTGGTTGGGAAGGGGGAGAGACTTAAACAAGGTACTCTAAAATCTGTTTAGAAATTCTGTCTAGAACATGAGATGCGAAAAGGTTCTATTCTTTGACTGCCTGGATGCCAGCGCTGCTATAGCTTAAAATACATCCACACTCGTCTCAGTTCTTCAAATTAGACCAAGTTCCCTTTTTGGGCTGATTGTCAGTCCTGGATTGGTATTGCTGCAAGCTCTGAAACTCATCAAAAAGTAACTGACAAAACTGAACCACTTGGTAGGTATTCAAGTGGTAGGAATACTTTTGTTTTCTGAAAGACTGACTTCCTCCCCTGGCCTAATGCAAGAGTGAGAATCAAGGATGAGGAGAAACTGTGTACCCATATACACAGTGGCATTTAGGACTTGGGTATGCTCCCCCCAATCCCTTGGTGTCCCTCATTTTTTCTAGGCAGAAACTCAGGACCCAGCAAATCCATTGTATTAATCCTGTACTCTAAGCAATGGCCATTGTGAACCCTAGTCCCATGGACTTGGGCTCTATGCTCAGTGTCCGCTCCTGGGCAGTCTGGTTCTCTCTGATGTCACTATGGGGACAGTGTCAAAAACAGGTTCTTCTTTTTTCTATTTATTTATTTATTAAATATTTCTGCCTCCTCCCCGCCACCGCCTCCCATTTCCCTCCCCCTCCACCAATCAAGTCCCCCTCCCTCGTCAGCCCGAAGAGCAATCAGGGTTCCCTGCCCTGTGAGAAGTCCAAGGACCACCCACCTCCATCCAGGTCTAGTAAGGTGAGCATCCAAACTGCCTAGGCTCCCACAAAGCCAGTACGTGCAGTAGGATCAAAAACCCATTGCCATTGTTCTTGAGTTCTCAGTAGTCCTCATTGTCCGCTATGTTCAGCGAGTCTGGTTTTATCCCATGCTTTTTCAGACCCAGGCCAGCTGGCCTTGGTGAGTTCCAGATAGAACATCCCCATTGTCTCAGTGTGTGGGTGCACCCCTTGCGGTCCTGAGTTCCATGCTCGTGCTCTCTCTCCTTCTGCTCCTGATTTGGACCTTGGGATTTCAGTCCAGTGCTCCAATGTGGGTCTCTGTCTCTGTCTCCTTTCATCGCCTGATGAAGGTTAATAACCAGGAGGATGTCTATATGTTTTTCTTTGGGTTCACCTTCTTATTTATCTTCTCTAGGATCACGAATTATAGACTCAATGCCATTTATTTATGGCTAGAAACCAAATATGAGTGAGTACATCTCATGTTCCTCTTTTTGGGTCTGGCTTACCTCACTCAGGATAGTGTTTTCTATTTCCATCCATTTGCCTGCAAACTTCAAGAAGTCCTTGTTTTTTACTGCTGAGTAGTACTCTAATATGTATATATTCCATACTTTCTTCATCCATTCTTCCATTGAGGGGCATCTAGGTTGTTTCCAGGTCCTGGCTAATACAAGCAATGCTGCTATGAACATAGTTGAGCATATACTTTTGTTGTATGATAGGGCATCTCTTGGGTGTATTCCCAAGAGTGGTATTGCTGGGTCCAGTGGTAGGTTGATCCCGAATTTCCTGAGAAAAAACAGGTTCTTGTATAAAATGTGGTCCCGACATTTGTGACCTTATTTCCCACACCCTTATTTTATTTAAAAGTTATTTGTGTCTATGCATGTACATGCCTGTGTACGCATGAACATGTGTGCACACATGCTGTAGGTGGTATGACAGCTTACAGGCGCCAGTTCTCTCATTCTGTCATGTGGATCTGTTTGGTCTGAATGAGAATAGCCCCCATAGACTTGTGCACGAATTCCTCAGTTGGTGGAACTGTTTGGGAAGGATTAGAAGTGTTGTCTTGTTGGAGGAGGTGTGTGATGGGGGTGGACTTTGGGGTTTCAGAAGTCCATACCAGGCACAGTCAGCTCGCTCGCGCTCTCTCTCTCTCTCTCTCTCTCTCTCTCTCTCTCTCTCTCTCTCTCTCTCTCTGCCTGTGCTGTAGATGAGGAGAGATAGTAGCAGCCTCGTTGTCTTACTCCTGGCCTTAAAGGAGTATGCATTCAATATTTGACCACTGAGCGAGGTTTGCTATTGGGATTTTCTTCTCTGCGTGTTACCTTTGAATTTTATTCCTTTCTCTAGCTCTGTTGAGCTTTTCCTTTAGCCCATTATGGTGGTGAATCTATCTATATTCATTAGATTTCTCCTCTCCAGTCAATTCAGGATTCTGGAGTTAAGAGCTTTGGTCATGCGTTACTATCTATGTGCATTGCACTGTCTAAGGCTTCCTTTCTCTCTAGGGAATGGTGACTGGCCTGTTGCTTTTCCGTTTTGTTATTAGTCTGTTTGTCTGGCTCTGGTACAAGTTAATACTGGCCTCATGAAGCAAGTTGGGTGTGTTTCCTTATTTTCCTTTTGTAGACAAGTTTGAATCAGATTGGAACCGTTTGTTTCCTAAGTGTTTAGTAGAGCATGCCAAAAAACCGGCTGCACCCAAGACAGCCTGTGTGCAGTATTTAGGATAGTGGCATGCATCAGTTCCTTGAATAGTTCCGAGAATATTCAGTCTTTATTTCTTCTTGGGTCGGTTTTGACCAGAAGTAGTTTTGGGGGCATTTTGTCCATGTCTGTTAAAGTTTACAGATCTGTTTTTGTATAGTTGTTCCTAATATTCTTCTTTAATCCTGTAAATGTGTGTAATATGAGTAGCTATGGTCTTTTTTTTTTTTTTTTTGTCTTTTTTGAATGACAGGATCTTTGTGTAGCCCTGGCTGGCCTGGAACTAGCTATGTAGACCAGGCTGTATAGACAGTGTAAATCTCGAATTTACAGAGATCTGACTGCTTTTGCCTCCTGAATTCTGGGATTAAATGTGTGTGCCACAATGCCTGGCTCATTTGCATTATTATTATTATTTAATATTTAATATTATTTTTCACTTCCCCCCTTTCTCAGTCTTGTAGGAAGCTTCATTTTATCTCTCTGCATGTAGAATCATCCTGGGGATTCTTTGATACCCTCTCTGATGATCAACTTTCAGTTGGTGTCTGCCTCCCATCTTAGCTAGGATCTCTGTTGCTTTGACAAACCACATGACCAAAAGCAAGTTGGGGAAGAAAGGGTTTTTGCAGCTAACACTTCCATATTGCTGTTTACCACTGAAGGAAGTAAGTGTTGACTGAGATTTCTGTCCTGCCCGGTTCCTGCAGTTGTTCAGTCCCAAAGAAATTACACAGAGGTTTACATTAATTATAAACTGATTGGTCTAGTATCTCAGGCTTCTTATTAACTTTTATAACTTATATTAGCCCATAATTCTTGTCTGTGATAGCCATGTGGCTTGGTACCCTTTTCTGCAAGGTAGTCACGTCTTGCATCCTCTGCATCTAGGTCAGGACTGCAGACTGAAACTTTCCTCTTCCCATAATTCTCGTTGCCCCACCTCTACTTCCTGCCTGGCTACTGGCCAATCAGTGTTTATTAAACAAGTACAAGAAACAAATCTTTACAGGGTAAAACCATTGTCCCACAGCAAGTGAGGACAGGAACTCAAGCAGGGCAGGATCCTTGAGGCAGGAGCTGATGCAGAGGCCATGGAGGAGTGCTGCTTACTGGCTTGCTTCCTCTGACTTGGTCAGCCTGCTTTCTTATAAAACCCAGGACCACCAGCCCAGGGATAGCATCACCTACCATGGGCTGGGCCCTCCCACATTGTTCACTAAATGAGAAAAGCCTTACAGTGGATCTCATGGAGGCATTTCCTTCTTTGAGGCTCCGTCTCTGAGGGCTCAAGCTTGTGTCAAGTTGACGCACAAAACCAGCCAGTATACCAACCCTCAGCTTTCTTTGAGTGAATTCTGTTCTGCTGCTGCTTTCACTGAATATGAAACCCATCCAGTTATTGTCAGACTTCCCAGCTGGAATCGGCATTTTTTTTCTGTGGCAGCCTGTGGCAGAGCTTCCTGTAGACGTCCAGGACTGTTGCCAGGCCCTGCCCTGCCTCTCTTTGTGTCCTGAAGAACTGACCTTCGGAGAGCTCCCCCATGGACACTCCTGCTGTTTGTGGTTGAAGTGAAATGATGTTGTGGATGACCTTGGAGGTGAATCAGTCAGACACAAGGCCGCGCCAGGCCGGAGAAGACTGACAGCTGGGAGGCTAAGTAGCTTTTCCTCATGTCCAGGTTTATGGGAACTACAGCCGAGAAGTGGGGGAAATGGATTGGCTGTCATCTCACTACTTAGCAGTAGCCACTAGAGTGTGTGTAAGTACGTGTCTGTGGGGCTTTCTTTTTCTTTTGAAATAGACCCATGCTACAAAGGCTGACTTGGGGCCCCTTCCCCCCGAGTAGCCTATTGTGAACAGCTTTTCACGTCAGTAAGTATGAAAGAATGAAGCTCTTTAAGGTCACCTTTCTGCTTCATGCAGGTTTTTGAGGACTTGTCGGCACACTGCTGACCTATTCATAGGGACTTGTTTTTCCTGTCCACCAAATGTTTCTGCTTCTCTCCAGGAAGCACACACATTGAAATCAGATGTGAATGAGCCATGGCTTTTGGGTTGTTTTGTGATGGAGTGGAGAGAGGAGTGTCATGTGCTTGGCACCATGGCAGTGAGGTGGGTCCGATGTGTCTTACCGTATATGCAACTTTCTGATCGTATCTTGTGACTTGGAGCCCGGGTGGATCAGCCAGGCTTGTTCTCCCCAAGTTTCCTGTCACGGGGAGAAGAGGTCAGAGGCCAGGGAGGTGTCTGTGGACAGCACCCCCAGCCCCAGTCCTGGGTATCAATCCTAGGCTCTCATGCATGCTAGCTCCACCCCTTCTTTGTTTGTTCCATACCGCTGGGATGCTTTGATTTGGGAAAAATACCACTTGGAGGACCAAACGCCTGGAGTTTTGGAATGATTCCATACTCCAGGAGGCATTTGGATTTCACTTGTGTTTGTGCTTGGTTGGCCTGGTGCACTGTTGCAGTGTTTTGGGTCTTTGTGAATCCCTAGTTTATTTTGGAAGACTTTTGTTACACTGCCTAGGCATCCCCGGAGGACAGGCACGCATGAGCGCTGCTGGTTGTGTGTCAGGGAGCCTGGCAGCTGGGTTGAGCACAGCTCAAGGTACCTAGCTGCTGGGTAAAACCCACCCAAGGTACCAGACTGCTGCTGTCCCTGCCAGCCCTGCTTCCTGCTGAGTTGGGCTTTCTGTGTGTGGAAACAGCGTGGCTCCTCCAGGGTGTGGACCAGCATTCTAAGCAGGCTTGCTTGCCCCACTTTTATGGCTAGAGCTTCCTATAGGAATATTAGCTACCAGTGAGATGACCATGATGTAGGAGACTGTGCCTACTCTATCCCCCCCCCCCCCCCCCCCCCCCCCCCCCCCCCCGGCTCCACCCCCATCCCAGGTTGAGGTCTAGACTAAGTACTTCTTACATGAAGGTATTAATACCTTTCCCATGGCAACGTCTTCTGGCTGCTTTTTCTTCCTAAGGAACTTGGGAATGGTTAGGGTCTGGAGGCTCCTCTGCCCGCCTCCTGTCCCAAGGTTTTAATTCTTCTGTGAGAGGTGCTTATGGCGAGGAGACTGTCATGAAAACTGGGGTTCTCCTTTGCTCTGCAGCCCTCCCGTGTCTATGTGTGGCTGATGAGTGTTCAGGTATGGGGGTTGGCCGTGAGCAACTCATGGGAGGAAGGCACAGGGCCTGCCAGAGCTATCCATGCAGGTGCTTCTGGGACCCCCCATGAGATGAACACCCAGGCAGGCCACAGTGCCACATGTTGTTCAGTGAACCCATGATTTGTTTTGGTGTAGCTATAGAGAGTACTCTGTGCCCTGGCCTGATTCTTGGTTTGGTCTCTGAAGCCATCGCCATTCCTTAAATTCTATTACGCTTTTGTTTGTCATGGATGATTACGCAAGGCCCGTAATCCAACGCTGATGGAGGAATCGGGTCTAATGGGTCTGCTTTTCCTTCCTAAGCTCCTGTGGCGCAGCTTGTGAGCTTTCACTCGTGGCAAAAGCATTGCTTGTCCCCCTGCTGTGGTCTGCACTGTGTTAGAGTTGGAGCAGGAAGACGAGCAGGCTCACACATGGCTCCAAACACCCAGTCTGAGCAGGAGCCAGACGCTCATATGCGTCTATAGGCCCAGCTCATCTAACTACGGCCAGAGCGCCAATGCCTTCTGCATTCACTGGGTCTCAGTTACTGTGACAGAAAGCCTGAGGCATCAACCCGAAGGCTTATTTTGGCTCCCAGAGCTGGAGGTTTCAGTCCATGGTTGGTTTGCCCCGTGGTGAGGCAGCACGTCCGGGTGGGTGTGGGGGAACAAAACCACTCACCACGTCGTGAGCCAGGGAACGAAAGGGAGAGATTGGAATCCCGGAATTCCTGTCCTGTGTCCCCAGTGACCTGGAGGCCTCCGCTCTGAAAAGTTCTGCTGCCTTCCGACAGTGCCAATCCTTCTGACTCAGCGGGCCGAGGGGAGGCGTCATGGAGTCCAGACTCTCACAAGTGCTCCCAAGCCAAGCATGAGTTCTACTTTCTGTCCTGTGTGCACCCAGGTCTCACTGGGCTGCTCAGGGCTTTTCTCAAATGCGTATCTTTTCCCCCTGCCTCCCAACGGCTAGGATTGCAGCTCTGTGCCAACGTGCCCAGCTCTGATTTTTACATTTCCGTGTTTGAAAAAGAATCAAAAGGAGAATAATATTTCAGGATATATCAAAGTTGAGTGTAATTCAGATTTCATTGCCCATAAATAAAGTTTTATCGGCACACAGCCATCACCAGACATTCTGTACCGTCTCTGGCCGCTTTTCTGTCATGACAGCAGGATTCATAGCGGACATAGAAACTGCAGGATATACAAGCTTTAAGGCAGTTACTCTTGGGTAAATTTTAAAGAAACACTTTGTTGACACTCGGCCTGAACACCTGTGGGAGGGCGAGAAAGAGGGATTTAAGGAAAAAGCAGCTTGTGTTCTAAGGGCTGTGGAGGCTGTGTGTGGAAGGAGGGTCCCTGGGCGTCCTGTGTGAGATCTGAAGGTCAGAGTGACACGGGAGAATGGAATGTGCCTTCCAGACAGCACCTGAAGAAGCCGTATGGTTGAGCGCACCAAGGGCTGCAGAGTACGATGGTGACAATAATGATGAAGATGACCACGCAGATGGCAGGAATAGGAAAAGGGACAGAGAGTATGACCGTGTGGCCCATGGGGTGGAGACTGCCAGGAAGAGTCAGATGGTTTCAAGTGCTCTGCCCAAGTGGTGATTCTTCCTCCTTTTCTTTCAGGTAAAGATTTTCGGGCGTGTCAGCATCCTGGGGGACGTTGGTCAACTGCAGCCTGGGATATGAAGGTCTGGGCACCGGCTCTCACCTGAGGTGTTGAAACCGAAACCAATGTTACTTATGAAACTCTGACTCCACTCTGTGTGTCCAGCGTCTACTTGGAACGTCACCAACAAGCTTGTCCCCAGTCGCCAGATGAGAGTCACCTCGGCCACCCTTGGATGCCCCTTTGAGATGCCCTTTGCACTCCTTCCTTGAGGGGTTTTCCACCTTCCTAAGAGGCAAAGATGGGAATATTGATTTCTAAGAATCTTTCTAGAACAACTATAGATAACAGTAAAGCTACAATTAGGAGGAGCAATAATTTTAAAAAGCTGGGAAGATACCTTAGCTCATAGCCTGATTACCTTAGAAGCAGGGGATACAAGTTTTGTCCCTGGAGCTCACATAAAACAGAACTAGCATGAGGGCCCACACCTCTAATCCAGTCTAGGGCAAAGAGGTGAAGGCCTGGGGTTGACTGCTCAGCCAACCTAACCTTGTGAGTGAGTTCCGGTGACGACACCTGGTCCCAGACACGGTGGATGACTCCAGAGGAACAATGCCCAAGGTTCATTTCTGGCCCCTACACACATGTTCACCAACACACAGCACACATACACACACCCTCAAAAGCCGGAAGGGCCTTCAGATGTACCTAGGAGAATCCTGGCATTTTGTTATTCCAGATCTTTCCGTCACCATCAGGTCTGGCTTTATTTGGGGGACAGCTATGTGACATTTCAGAGTGAACATACAAGCTCCCCACCCAACTCCACTCCACCCCTTCCAAGAGGTTCGGCATAAATAGGAATGGCTACTACACAAATTTCAAATTTTCAGGGATCAGACCACATGAGAGTGTGTGTGTGTGTGTGTGTGTGTGTGTGTGTGTATGGGTATGGGTATGGGTGTATGGTGTGTATACCTGTCTCTCTCTTCATGGGGATGTAAAGTGCCAGGTAGCTTTTAGTGATTGTGTGTGTGTGTGTGTGTGTGTGTGTGTGCTGTAAAAACGTTTCTCTCTCCTGCCTCAGTGTTGTGTTGTTTGTCTTAGGAATATAATGCTAAGAAGAAATCACTGTGGTAATTTAAATAAATGATACTTTGGTTGGCTGGAAAAGGAAGAAAAAAGGGACACTGTCAGGAACTCTGTTGGCAGCCCGTCCAGGCTAGGTTGCACTAGACTAGACTAGAAGCTCTCCTGGGCCCACTGCACCTAGCCTGGGAGCTGGGTACCCAGAGATGCCTGGAGGAAACAGGTCCTGGACTAACTGCTCAGGTTAACGGAGGTCTCCCGCTTGGTCTTCTCCCACATTGCTGTAGCTCGGATGCTGTGCAAATCTCGTAGCAGTGCCTTTGGGACCCCGGGAGTGTAGTATGTCTGGAAAGTATGGCTGCTGTTATTGCCTTGTTTCCATTCTGTCTTGGTTCTTGAGTTTGTGTACTTGTCTGTTTGATGCCCTGCTCCATTGCTTTGGGTAAAATCCCCTACCATGGCCAGCTCCACCCCACCATCAGACTCTCCAGTCCCTGGCTGGGGCTGTGGTGGTGGCAGTAGGTAGAGAGAGCCACCTTGGCTCTGGAGCCTGGCTGGGCATGGGTGCTTTGCAATCCTAACCCATCACGGAGTGGCCTGTTCTTCTGGGCTCCCTTAATCTCTGCTTCTCAGTTGGTTTCTCTCACCCTCCTGCCCTGCTAGTCAGAGGGGTGGGGCTTGAAGCAGAGCAGGTGGCTCGCTTTCCTCACTGTGTAGTCACAGCACAGAGGTGATTCTAGGACATTGGCCATCTTCAAGCTGTGTGCCCTGCCCTCTCAGCCTTGGTGCTGGGACTGTCACCTCCCATTCAGGTGTCCCGGGACTACAGGTGACCACCTAGAGAAGCTGGATTCTCCTGCCTTATGTGTGAACACCATGGATCCGGCTGCCAGTCCCTCATCGCTGACTCTGGCAAGAATAGCAGGACGGTGACCTTACAAATCCTTGATGAAACTTCAACACCGCAGGCACTTAAATAAAGATCCTTAAAACAAACAAGAATCATCAGACTGAGTCATGAGTGTGTTGGGTTTGGGTGTTTTTCGATGGAGCTGGTGAAACGACTCTGTGGTCAGAAATGTGAACACAGGTTGTGGGTAGGTATGTGTTGGGGTTTCTGGGGCTGTGTGTGTCCTGGTGATTTAGGAAAAGGCATATGAATGGAATGGGGCTGGGGAAACTTCCCCCCCCTCTCTCTCCCCCCCCCTCACACATACACAACACACACATACACATGCACACACATGCGTGCACGCTTGCTTCATGCACTCTTGTTCAAGAAGCTGGTTCAGGTTGGGAAGTGTTGAGCCCTCACTGGATACCCTTGAGGTGTCCAGAGGATGGAGAGCCCACCATGTGTAATCTGTGGTCCTGTCCTTGCCTCATCCCTGGTTTTGCATAAGATTTCTGTGACATCCAGGGTGCGATGGCGCATGCCTGTCATCCCAGGGCTGCAGAGGCCAGTCTGGGATCCAGAGCAAGACTTTGTCTCAACAAACAGAAAACCATCCCCAAATTTCTATGGATGTCCAGGCTGGATTAACCCCCTAGTGGATAAAAGCCAGAGAGGGTGGCTCACTCACTTGAACATGCAGTGTTGGGTATCGCCAAGAACTTCAAGGGTGTGGTCTACTTGACTCTTCCGACAGCACGCTCGTCGTCGTCTCTGTAGCCAAGCGTTTCCCTACCAGTCTCGTTCCTCTTGACATCCAGGGATGAGCCAGCCCGAGGAGGAAGGAGGTACCCTCAATCCAGCAGTGCCCCTTTTGGTTTGGATTGCTGCTAAGGCAGCTTGTTCTTTGGTTTTACGGGCTCATTTGTGGGAGTCTATTCAAATCCTGGCCCTTTCTGCACAAAGAAAGCTTTTCTTTCTCCACATACCCTGTTAGAGCTGTCAGAGTCTAGTAGAGGAGATGGTCCATGACTCCCAAGCGTGTCTCCCAACTGCCTGCCTTTTTTACCATAAGTGCTGACACTTAGGAAGAGGGGTAGCTTGGGGCATTGCTCAAAATGGTACTTTCTAAGGTTGTGAGACCCCCTACTGAAGTCTTAGGTTTATGATATGTACCTTGCTTGCTTTTCTTTTTTCTTTTTTCTTTTTCTTTTTTCAGCAAGATGCTGGGTCTGGGGACCTTTTGAATGGAATTGGGAAGTAACCAGAAGAGAAATGTCCAGAGGCAGGTGCACAGGTACCCTACGCTTGCTGGTGAGACTTTGACTAGCAAAGTGATTTTGAGATTGATCGGCTCCCTGGTATTGTGAGCTCTGTGAGAGGGGGTGGGCATCAGCAAAGGGGACTATGGCTCAGTCGATAGGAAGACTGCAGGAAGAGTCGGGGGACTTCTCCATCTGCTCTCCAGAGGCACAGAATCTGCCCCACGAAGCCCGCAAGCTGCTCCCAGTCACATGTGGGAGCCAGCACTTGCCTCTAGCTCTGCTGCAGTAGAATTCTTGTGACTTTTATCTGAGAATTCAGGGAGCCTTTGTGTGGACTCAGTATGAAATACACAGCATATGATTTGTGAGATCGCTTTCTTTTCTATTCTTGGTGGGAACCAAATAGCGTGAGCATTTAAGGCCGTTGCTGTGAACCGCTACCTGCGCTGTTGCCTGAGTATTTGGTCTGCAGAGCGTCTCTCCCCTTGGTAATTGCCTCAGAATTTCTTGCTATAGTTAGGCTCAGTGGACTAGATTATCTATCAGCAAGCTTCACCTTCCTGGAGGTGGGCTGTTTTTGATGAGCCAAAATGATGTGGAAGGGCCACAATGGGGTTTACCTGTATTTGTTAGCAAAGAGAGGTACCACAGCCTCAATTTAAGTGTTTAAACCCTCCATCCGACACCAGTGCTGCGAGTAGGAATGATCATAGAGTAATTGATTGTGAAGTTTGTAAGAAGTCAGCTGGGCGGTGCCGGGTGTTATGGGAAGAAGCAAAAGAGAATGGGTGTGATTCCTGCCTTGCTTGCTCAGAGTAATGGGGGGCTAGCTTCCTCCGCTAGCTGTTGCGGTCACCTAGAGCGCAAGTCTAGCTTGGCATTGCTCAGTGATGGGTATCTCTTTGGCAGACACCAAGCCACAGAGCTTCTGTGAAGACCTTGTAGCTTCCCTCTGGAGGTCATTTTCCGCTCCTAGAGTCAGAGCTAGTCACCTCCGGTCTCTTCCATCAGCTTGCTTCCAAGCGAAGGTCATTTTCAGCCACTGGAGCCATCCCCAGGATCCTTCTTTAGCTTGCAGAAGCCTTAGGAGGTCAGGCAGGGAGTGTTTACGGCTTCCACAGTCCCAGATACCTCACCAGACACAAAGTCATCATCACGAAAAGATCAAGGCACATGGGCGATGCTGCTGCCCAAGTGCAGGGCAGCAAAGTCTCATGTTGGGGAATGGTAGAGTGAATGGGGGAGACAAGAGCAGGTCATTGGGCCTGGGAGTGAGGGCCTAGAGGTGACTGGGAGGACAAGCAGTGTGGGAGAAGGCCACAGGTCTGGACTCAGCCCAGGCAGGGACCCTCCCCCCCTCAAAAAAAATTAGGTAGAATTGGAGTAAGGGCTATAAGTATCTGGGAATTGTTACCATTACCAGTAACTTCTGGGGTCCTTCTATGTGCCTGGAGCCTTGGCATTTTATTTCTTATTCAGTTTCTCAGCTGGTCTTTTAGGAGGGTATAATCTTATTTCTAGAATAGGCCCTGGGGTTCTGTGATCATTTCCACAAACCACAGACGGGGGTTGGTTTCAATAATGGTCCAACTTCCTGCTTGTCCTGTACTTTAACATCCCCTGAGTCCCAGCATCACAGGATGGAGTTGGCAATTGCCTTCTCTTTGTCTGTGTGGGAACTAGCCTAGGAAACTCAGCACACAGGGTCACAGGTTGGTAATGGGTAGGTCGTGGACCATGGCCTCTTACCCTCCCCAGCATGTTTACTTGGAGGCTCTGGAGAGATGGGAGAGCATAAAAACTCCTATTGGGTGGCAGAGGATACCTGAGCTCTGGGCCAATGGGAATTAAGGTTGTGTACTCCAAGAGGCATCCAACTTAGGTGGTAGCCCCCCTTCATGGCTAAAAGAGACTGTCTGCCCAGGAGCCCTTTTCACTTTTTAAATCCTACCTGGGTACCTAGGTCCTTGGAGTCCCCTATCCTATCCAGTTGCACCAATCTGGGTTCAGGGCCTATGCTAGGAACACTTGCCTATCTATGTTGTTGGGAACCACTGTTCTCTGAGCATAGCATGGCAGTTACTCCGCTAATCAGTGCAGCTCTGACTACCACCCACACAACACCTGCATAAGGCGGGGACTGCTGATGGTTCCTTGTCTTCTTTGAAAATCTTCTAAAATTTTGAGCTAAAACCATCTGGTCCTGGGCTTTTTTTTTTTTTTTTTTTTTTTTTTTTTTTTTTTTTTTTTTTTTTTTTTTTTTTTTTNTTTTTTTTTTTTTTTTTTTTTTTTTTTTTTTTTTTTTTTTTTTTTTTTGGTTGGGAGACTTTTGATGACTGGTTTCTATTTCTTCAGCAGTCATAGGTCTGTTTAATTTGCTTATCTGGTCTTGATTTAATTTAGGTAAGTGATATTTATCCAGAAAGTTGTCCATTTCCTTAAGTTTTCAAATTTTGTAGAGTACAGGTTTTCAAAGTATGCCCTGATGATTCTCTGGATTTTCTTCATGGCTGTTGTGTCCTCCTTCCCATTTCTCATTGTGTTATTTGTATATTCTCTCTCTGCCTTTTGGGTGATTTGGATAAAGGTTTGTCTATTTTGTTAATTTTCTTGAAGAACCAACTCTTTGTCTCATTGATTCTTTGTTTCTATTTTGTTGATTTCAGCTTTCAATTTGATTATTTCCTGCTGTCTAGCCCTCCTGGGCAAATTAGCTTCTTTTTGTTCTAGAGTTTTCAGGTGTTCAGTTAACTCACTAGTGTGGGCTTTTTCCAGCTTCTTTATGTAGGCATTTAGTGCTATGAGCTTTCCTTTGAACATTGCTTTCATTGTGTCCCATAAATTTGGGTATGTTGTATGGTCATTTTCATTACATTTTAGGAAGTCTTTAATTTCTCCCTTGACCCATTGACGATTCAGGTGAACATTGTTTAATTTTTATGTCTTTGTGGGCTTTCTGGAATTAGTATTGCTGTTGACTTTCAGTGTTAAACCATGGTGATCTGATAAGATACTTGGGGTCATTCCAATTATTTTTGTGTTTGTTAGGTTTGTTTTGTTACCAAGTATATAGTCAGTTTTTGAGATAGTTCCATGAGGTGCTGAGAAGAAGGTATATTCTTTTTTGTTTGTATGGAATATTCTATAGATGCCTGCTAAGTCTATTTGAGTCATAACATCTGTTAGTTCCCTTATTTCTCTGTTCATTTTTTGTCTTACTGACCTGTCCAATGGTGAGAGTGGAGTGTTGAAGTCTCCCACTATTAGTGTGTGGGGTTTAATGTATGATTTAAGCTTTAGAAGTGTTTCTTTTACATATGAGCATGCCCTTGTATTTGGGGCATAGATGTTCAGTATTGAGATTTCTTCTTGATGGATTTTTCCTGTGACTAATATGAAATGTCCTGCTATGTTTCCTTTGATTCATTTTAGTTTGAAGTCTATTTAGTTAGATATTAGGATAGCTACACAAGCTTGTTTTTTAGGTCCATTTGATTGAAATATTTTTTTTCCAACCCTTTACTGTCTGTCTTTGGTGTTGAGGTTTGTTTCTTGTATGCAGAAGAAGGATGGATTCTGTTTTTGTATCCAATCTGTTAGCCTGTGCCTCTTTTATAAGTGACTTGAGTCCATTTAAATTAAGGGATATTAATGACCAGTGATTGCTATCTCCTTTTAATTTAGTTTTCATTGTTGGTGATGTTGTGTTTTTCCTTTTTTGGGTTTTCCTGCTATGAGACCATCAATTGTCTGTGTTTTTTGCTGATGTAGTCAACTCTCTTGGGTTGGAGTTTTCCTTCTAGTATTTTGTGTAGGGCTGGGTTTGTGGCTAGGTATTGGTTGAATCTGGT